AACGACAACATTGAATACCGATCGACTACCAGGTTAATTTAACATGGGCAACTGATTACAGGCGATGCTGACCTTGTTGTCTTTACTAGCAGCTGTTGTTCAGTAAAAGTCTGCATTATTACGGAGGAAGCGGCTGTTAATGAAGCGATCAGTGACCAGCGGCGTTATCAGCCCTACGGAGCGGCCGTCTGAAGTCACGGTTAGCAGTAAATGCTATTCACGAGCCTATCACGTGAAGCTCACAAACAACATTGATTACCGATCGACTACCAAGTTAATTTAACATGGAGAACTGATTATAGGTGATGCTGACCTTGTCGTACTAGCAGCTGTTGTTCAGTAAAAGTCTGCATTATTATGGAGTAAGCAGCTTAATGGAGCGATCTTCCTGTTTACATCGACACACACGCGCATGCCCAGTGTACGTGAAGAGTCACGCGATACTCGTTTTCAGGCATGTTAGTATGGACAGAGATCATTTGGAAAACGGTGTTGCAACACCGTGTGGACAGAGATCATTTTTGTTTTACGTTTGAAAATGGAGTAGTATGGATGTAGCCTTAGCAAGTCATGCACTGTCAATAGCCCTCATACACCATAACATCCACAATTATAATATATTGTATAGTTTTGAATGCACCAAACATTATTGCAAATCCTACACATTGTATTTACAGCATGTATACATTATGCATCATGCAGCAACCTCCGGTTCTGCTGAGTGAAGCTAATACGGAAGACTCTTAAAACTTGCATTCTCTGCTGACCAGCAGGGGCGAATCCTCCGGTTGCAAAAATAAGTCAGATTGTATAGAAGTCTATGAGAAAATGACTACTATTTAGAGTCAAATAGACCATAAAGCAGGGTATGCTTTAGGGCGGCTTACAGTGATTGACAGTTCACTGCCGCTACCAGAGCTGTATACAGCGTCACTACTTCACTCCTCTGCATTACAAATATGGTCACTTCAGTTCACTGGTTGCAAAAAAAACAACATGGCGGCTTGAGGCTTCATAACTCCAGTCATGAGAATGAGTATTGTGTGAAGGTAAATTATAACGTTATCATGATGTGTTCACGTGTGATCTCGTAAAATGTAGTGTTGGTGAGAAATTCGAATAAATCCAGTTGTTTGAAGATGTTTCACAACATAATAAATAGATATTAGAGATGAGTTATGACCGTTTACACTAGCTCTAACAGTTTATTAAAACTACTGACAAGATTTCTTTTAATCATTAAAAATACAATCTTTGATTTCCTTATTTCAATTCTGTTTTAGGAAGAAAAAACTACTATAAATGACTATAACGAAGTGAAAAGATGGCATTTAGAATTTTTAATAGTTTACACTGACTTAAGAAAAGGCAAAAAAGTCTTGTAGACCAGCTGCTATAATCAAACAACATAGGAATCTGTATCTACCAATATGGATCATCAATGATCTGCAATTAGTATCAGCGGCAAAAAAACGCGACCAGGGATCTAAAAGTTGTATTTGCTCCGATCCGATCTGCGAGTTTTATGATTTGTTGCACCAGTAAGTATTACTAACCGTTTTGGAAAGTCCCTTCATTTCCTGCCTGCACTAAAGCACAACTCAGTCTCTCCCTGCCTGCACTTTCATTGTGTCGTTGTCTCTCACTCCCCACCAGCTTCCTCTTCTTTTTGCAACACGGCAACAGTCAAATAAATAAGTCAATAAAGTACTACGCCGTTATGTAAACTCGCCTCACCGCTGTGCTTTTTGTACTTGTATTTTTGCACCAGAAGCTGTGCGTCCCGTACACAGGAGAGGGCGTGGTGTTGTTAGACCGCTATCCACAACACCCACATTGGTGATTAAGATGCACTCGCGTGAACGCCATCATGCGAAATCACGGAGATAACGGCAACGAACAACGCGGTTTACGGTTGGACACATTTAAAAGAAAAGGTTCAGAGAAAAATGCATTAAAAATAGAAAACGTCGACGTGTCCTCTAACCCCCAACATGACTTACCTTGTCATCACATGTCACCTAACGTAACGCATTTTCTCCGCGCTCCCTCAAAAACCGACACAAAAGATCGTTCACCTAAAGCTAGAAAGGCCCTCAGCCCAAGGAGCCCCTATGGCGGCTGTCCATGCACGTCCACGGGTCCCAAATAGAGAAGCTGGGGGCTGAATTTCCTCTAGGTTAGTCCCACTGAAGCCACAGTCCTCGTGTGCTACTGCAGCGCGCAACTCTGAGAAAGTTTCCCTGGTAGTCTCCGAGTTTAGAAAGGAGCAGAGCCAACCGACCGGACCGTATATATTACGCACGGCGTGGGCTCTGATTGGTGGGTTGAAAAGGGGCGGGTATGATTGCGTGTCAAAAAAAGAAGAAGCTTGTAGTAGAAAAACATGTCGCAGGAGACAGAAATCACAAAGCAGATACTTTTGTTGCAAGTTACAAAAACCGAGTCAGTATATGGAGCGAGTGAAAAATCCACTGTAATACATGTTTTTTATTCAGACCAGAATCCAGATCACACTGAACACACTGTGGTACTGTGTGTGTGTCTGCTGGCTCTGATTATTTGTCTCAAGGGCCTCTTTTCTCACTCATGTTTTCAAGTGTTCTCATTTTGGCAATAACAAGGCTCACTGTCCTGTCAGAGGGCTTTACAGTCTAACTAGACAGGAAATCACCATAAGAGTGATTGTATCAGGCACTGTTATTTAAGAGTATATGGAAAATACTACAATATATTGTAATATTTGAAATTAGACAACTCAAATAAAGATTGTTCACATAATGTACCCTCCGTTGTTATTATTATTGTATCAAATGTTTGACTCTTAACTCTATGAGCTGAATGCTAAAGTGAAGTGCACATACAATTGCAACATGTCTTATATTTGAAGAGGCAAGTCAAAAAAGCTCGGTTCATTTTGAAGAAATAAAGAGCCACTAAACGTGACAAATTAAGTGAATTGCTTTCCAAGGCATTGTGGGATTAGGTGATTAGGTGCCTTTTATATGCTGGCACTGATTGGGGGGAGGAACCTAGCCTGAGGGCTGCGTTCACAACCCTACACTTCCTTCTCTGGGGAGCATTCCCCACTACATCTGCATGAGTTTCTTTAGAACAAAGAAATGAGCAGAGCACACAACTGATTTATACACACATTACAGTGGCTTATAGACACACACTGATACTCTAGCACAGGGGTATTCAATTAAAATTCCAAAAGGTCCAGATTGAGAAAATCTCCTCGGGCAAAGGTCCAGAACATTACAATAATATCTAACTTGCGCTATTTAGTGCCATATATATATATATATATATATATATATATATATATATATATATATTCAAGAAGTCTAGTAGTAGTAACGTCTCTGTGTAGTCAACAACTGTCAAATCAAATAAAGAAAGTACACATCAATTATATTTTAACAATTATTATTCTCAGTTTTCAAATTTAACTGGATGGATTATAAATAATAAATAGAAATACATAAATACATGTTCTCTAATTTCAAGTAAAATAAGAGCTGCATTAAAGAATAACTGACATAACAGAAAGCTTTTCAAAAATGTGCATCTTCAAATAAAGTAATTCATTTTAGAAACATTAATTTCACTGAATTGCCCTGCAGCTTTAAATTCAGTTCATTCAGGTGTGAAGTGATGCCAATCAAAAAAGCCACAATATTACATTTTTCTCATCTTCTAAAAAGAGAAATCAGTGAGCATGGACTTTATCTGTGGTTATTAAACCACTTGTTTCAGCTCTATTCTCTCTGTTAACATCATTGGTCAGTGAATTAATGCGTTAGGATTCTGATCATATTGGGCTCTTAGGTTTATTTTCTGTGACT